CTACTTGACATGAGTACATTAGACACAAACTACCACCTGTGTGTGAAACTTATACTTGGATGCATTAGCAAACATGCAACTGAAGGAGTTTAAGCTGGCATTCAGATTCACACATTGTACAAGCTGGGTCGGTCCAAGTCTGCAGAGGATTCTCACTAAAGTGCAATCAACAGAATCAGTGTAAGTGTCTGATATGCCTCCTTGAGCAGCTAGGAGGTTATTAACTAATTTGTGTGCTGATTAAGCTGATTCCACTGGTTGGACTTGAATGAGAATCTCCTGCCGAGTTGGATTTTCCCCGCTAATATGATGTGTAAATCTGAATGTGCCCTAAATTACTGTACTGTATGTGCTTGGGTTTGGCACTTCTGCCATCAACAGGTGGATTAAGTCTGAGTGCATGCGATGGACACTCTTAATGTGCATGCTTGCTTTACTGCACGTGTTTGTGGACTATCTCACGTGTTTATGTGCATGCATGTTAATATTTATATATAAACTTGCACATGGCAGTGCCGGCATGTACATCACTCAGTAATTAGCAGTAAGGGAAGACATACATTAAAGTGCAGTCATCTAATTTCTAATTAGTACTACAAATAACATCCATTCAAGACAATCTCACTGCAGTCGACCTTAGTCATCAGCCACCAGAGAGTAAACATTGTAAAGGCCACATAATAGTTATCAATCTTTACCTAACCATGACATTAGGAAAAAGCTCTCTCTGAGAGCACATCTATCTCAAAGTAAATTTCATTACACCTTTTTATTCTCTTAAAGGTTAATTGATGCTAATTTTTGCCTTTAGACAGTTTTGTTCGACTGCTAGTACATAATGTATATTCATGTCTATCTGGACTCTTATTTCTAGCTTGAAATATATACTTTTACATGATTTGTCCTTACCAATGTTTTGCCAAAACAATTAATAATGAATGACTTATAAATAATGCACTCAAATAAACAGGCTTAATTTCTTCTTGGACCTTGAACTATAGTTTTTTGGAACACCTTTTTTTTTATTCAACTACACATTTATTTATATAGAAAAAAAATCTTCCAATTTTCCCAATAAAAATGCTGAGTCTATGTAGCATCAGGCATGCAAATGTTCACTGAACTGCCTTCATTTGTTTTGCTTAATAATAATTCATGTTAATGTGAACCCAATATTATTCATTTAAATTTATGTTATTATGAAGTAAAATGTATGACTTCACTTCCACAGTTGTTTGGCTGTAACTGATAATATGGCCTTCAGTTCTTAAAATACAGCAAGGAGATCAAAAACAACTATCAAGTGATTTACAAGTCTTAGTCAAATAAAAAGGCCACATCTCTCATCTCACTCTTCTGTGATAAGGTTTCTCATGTAATTATGAAGAGTACTGCCCCTACTTTAAATCTTCAACCTTGACATTATAACTAAGCGATACCTAACAGAATATACAGATGTTAACAAACAATTTAAAACAAAGATTGACAGATGGACAAACGGCACACAGCAGGACCCAGTTTCATCAACAATGGATAGAGCCATCCTATATGGATTGGATAAAACTGTTATTCTGTGGCCAGTTATCCTTTGAATGAAGTAAGGTTTCCAAAATGCTATATATTTTTGTCTCTGATATTGCTATCCAGTGGTTAAAAATGGTTGCTATTCTCAGGGAAACTGTTCAGAGAATGACAATTTTATCAGATGGACAGTTTTAATTATGGGATAGAACTATCCAGCATCGGGGCCAAGAAGTACAGGGCCCCATAACTCGAAAGCATCGCGCACTGCGACCGAGCGCAAGCATCCCGATTCCATAACTCGCCCATACTTGCCCCATATACATTGTAGCCTCTATGTGATATCGCTATTCGTAGTACGCGATGCTTTCGAGTTACAGGGCCCAGATCTATATTCTGATAAAGGTAGACTAATAAACAGACAAGGCTGATGTGGGTGGATACTCAAAGCCAGCCAGCCAGACAGAGAGATACACTAGCAGATGGAAATTAACTGTGGCAAACAAACAAACAAACAAATAGAACCAGACACCTACGTCCATACGAAACAATCATGAAAAGCAACCTTATAAGTTACCATGCAAGGCTTCCTTGGTATGTTGGGGCTCTTCCAACAATTCATCTCAAAACAAGCTGCATTCAACACAATAAGCAGGCAGGTAGATGGATTCACTGTTTTATTCAAGGAGTTTATTACAAAAAAAAAAAAAATACTTTTCAGAAAAATTCCATGGACTAACTTTGAATGTCGGAATGGATTCATTAACCATTGCTAAGTTAAAGGAAATCATCCTTTACACTAGAAAAATCCATTTTTTTGACCAAAACAAACAGTTATCACTTTATACCTACCTAATTTTTACCCTAAAAATTGGGTCAGTACCTGCACCCTATTACACAGGTGAGCTACCTGTGCAGAGAGCCAAGAAGAGGGAAATATTTTTAGTATCAATCAGAGCAGCATATTTCTAATTATAAAAAAGACAGAACCTCAGCATGCTCATTGATGCAGGGGCAGTAGCTAAATATGTGTGCTGAGCCCCTGTATACAGTACCCATATATATCTTTTTCTTGTGTGTGCGGCTGCAAAAGCTGCTATTACGTGTATACATAGCATTCAAATACTAGTAATAAGGTCCAGGATATGAGACTGGAAATGACAGTGTTGTTGTCAATGCAAAGCATAAGTTAGCTTTGTGTAATCAATAATGTATTGCCAATACCAAAAAACTCAAATAATCAGTGATAGGAATGACATCTTTCAAATTCTGTGACAATTGATACAAGGAAATACTATACTCCATGTAGAATAAATAACAAAATGAACATTTATAAATAAAGAAATAAAGGAGCAAAACTGCACTAAAAATATATAATGTAAGATAAATCCCAAAAAATATATAATCTCAGATAAATTCCATCCCAATAAAATGAGCAAAACTTGAGCCTAGTTGAGTCAATCTATTGTAGAACCTACCATGTCTTACTGTGTACATAATGAAAACAAACCACCATATTATTTCTGCCTTCAGCTAGTCTTATCTCCTCTTATGTTTGAATCCATTAATAACAATGACTTATTTCAACTGTTTACACCATAAATAAACATAGTGAATCAGGATGCTATGTCAGCCAGCAGAGATACAGTGTCAGGTACAGAGCAGTGTGTTGACACATGACACTGAAATTCAGACACCCGTTTATTTGAATAAAAGACATGGCATAGCAGTGTAACTAAAATAGCAAAATAAACCCAATGAGACAATTTCAACCATGGCCTTTCTCTTATCTAGATTCCTTCATATGGGCTTGGTGGATAACCATTCATTGGCTGGTCTATTTTTAAGAAAATATGGTCATCTGGCAAGTACCTTGTATTGGTCAGCCAAAGCAAACGGCTAATTGTGTTTTAAAACCTAAAGTAAACAAGTTGTACATGTATAATACACGTGTAATTCAAGGAGTTCATTTTAAACTGAGTGCCAAGAAGCCACTGTATCATATGAATATTAGATATATGTGTGCCATTTTTTCCCATGAACAAGGCAAGAATATGGCACCAGATCAAAGTACATGTACACCTAAAGAGTAAATGTCATACATAAATGATCCTATTTACACCAAGTATTTTAACATCTGTTTTAATTATTTTCCACTTAAATTTGTCCCAAGGATTTAATTCCCGAAGAAAGTAATCACTTTATATTTTCAACTCAGTCTGACTGATTAACACCTCTCATAAGACTCCATATAACCCGTATGTAAAGTTAACAGAGCTCAACTATGCAGAGTTAACATTTGTACACAATTAAAAATACATAAATAAAAAACAAACACGAGACATGTGTAAGCCCCAACCCATAGGGTATGCCCAATTACCAGTGTTTTTTTAAAATAATAATAAAAAAGTTTTCCTGATTGGTATAGATTATCAGTAACATCACAAAGCTTCTATGAGAGATGTCCAGCACCTATTATTATGACAATCAAGTCCAATTCATAATACTTATTTCTGTAATGAACCTGTCATGCTAAACAAGAATGAAAGTTTTCCAATATTTTTGTATTATCAGTTTTTCTAAAATTTGCTCTAATTAACTGGTGTGGAAGATATAGATAGGTGAAATTGTATTTGTAGGGCAAACACTGTATATAATCGGTCTGGATGTCTGGTTGCATGAGTCATCTATAACTTTTATAGGTCAAAATGGCTGGCATTTATACACAGGACACACTTTTGTATCATAAAACAGTACGTGTTCACATGAAAATAGAGTCGAACGTTCACTTTCAATATCACATTTCCTCAAATTTACTTACACTGCCTGATATCAAATTCCATTCGGTGAACTTAGTTTCACAGAATGAATCAGTGAATCTTGTGGTAAGTAAACGTGTAAACACCTTTAGCTTATTCAGTTAAAAAGAATACTCACTAAAATCCTGTGCTTTTTGTTTTAAAGTTGTAACGGGGGCCTGTTGTTGACTTTCACCGACACACAGTACACACAGGAGTGTCACTGTTACTGCTGTTGTCGTCGATCTCTTTATCATCGTTTCTGACAAGACCGTCCCAATAACAGTATCGCTTTTGTTTCTTAATGGTACGAGGTCAGTTTTTGTAGCTTCGCATCATCGTGGTCAATATTGGTTGACGCCCTGGTGTCACTTCAGAGCTATAAAAGTCACACATTGAAGAACACGACAGACTTCGGTCGGCTGTGGCTGTTGGGATAACCCTGCACGACTCCCCCTAACCGCATAATTTCTAGAAATAAACTGCAAGTTAATTTTAGACAAATGCAAAGTAGAAAATGCACTGGATATTGTTTCGATGTTTTAGTTAGAAAAATGAATTATTTTGTGGTTAAATAATAAGCCTGTTTTCCTAACAGATGTAAAGATATTGGGGAACTCCTCTAGGTTGAACAGCTTTGCTCTGGAGGACTTGGGGTCTTTTCATTGGATAGAAATTTGATCATGTGACTTGTCCAAAATGGCAGCCTCCAGACCTGGTGAGTTGGCACCAAATTAATTTAGATTTTTTCGCAGTTGGTACGTTTTAGATGCCAGAGTACTGCCATACGATTGAAATATTTGTCTCTGAACATTGAATTGTATATCTTAATTCTCGTGATGTCTTTTATGCAGTAGATGTCTAGAAATTAAACTCAGTTATCCTGTGTGACATTGAATCGTACCAGCGGCAACTCTGACACTGACTGCGCCTGGGTCTAAATATTCTGCTTCTTACTTCTTTGCATGTAGCTCTACATTCTATACTACAATAGCAGTGTAAAATAGACACCTGCCAGTGATACACATTTGGCCCTCCCTGAACACAATGGTGCAGTGCAAGCATGTGTCATCTACATGTACTTTTTTCTTGCCTTCAGCTGTCAGAAGTTTTAAAACTCATTGTGAACGAGGATTATCTGAGTCTGTTTTTAAAAGTGCAATTTAGACATATAGCTGACGGGTCAGACAGTGGTTTGGTTAATGGACATGCACCTCAGAATAGGACTTATTGCTTTTGAATCTCATTTTCATCTTGGTATCACTATGATAATATAGGTTTCTTAAAACTGAAACTCATTTTATATAAATCTGTTGATATGCCCCTCTTCTATACAATATATATAACTACTGGTATCTGAAAATGACAGCATATATCACTACTTTGAACTTCTCGATATTTTATATATATTACCTGTATTTGAAGATGCAGTAGTCATGTAGACAAAATTGATACCTTTTTTAATTCATGGAGCATATGCCTTTAACTTTTAAACATATTTTTTCATTTGCTAAGGTAATCTGGAGAGGGGCTGGAATGATCCCCCTATGTTTTTCTACAATGTGGATTCTAATGCCTCAAATGCTACAAAGAAAGCATCCCTAAATAAAAGAGTTGCATTTCCACAAGATCCAACTACAAATGTGGGTGCAAATTCATGTAAGTTGAAGTATGGGAGTTTGTAATATAGTTATGTTATTTATCTATTTCAATTCAAAGTTATCTGTTTGATTTAACATTATCTTTGTNCAAGCCCTTTCAGTTTGCGGTCAGTGAACTGATTTGATATCCATTCACGTCTTTGATAGCATTATAACAGTGGATATTATTGTGCAATGAATGTCTCACAGGTGCATTTTTGTTTACTTATCCTTAACTGTATATATGTTTTACAAGTAGTTTATTTCAAGTCCTTTCAGTTTGCAGTTAGTGAACTGATTCCCATTGGAATTTTGGAAAGTGATTATAAAATGCAGAGAAAGTACCACGATTTATTTTTCCCAAAAATAAATTCTTTATAAGAAAGGCTTAAAAATTAGTTTGTCTTTTTAGTGATAATTGACACTCAATAAAGAAAATTCCTTTAAAATTGTAACATACATTTTTCTTTAATAGAGTTTTTTCTTTAAAGACCACTTGAGTGCAACAATAGAGAAAGTAACGTCAATAACTATTCAATTTTATTACTGAAAATAACACCAGTGCTACAAATATGTATACTTTGGGTGCTAACCATATATAATTCACCGTATATACTGAAGACTAAAATATATATATTCTTTGGGCGCTAAATATACAATTCAAATAACGGAAGAATAAAAATTATTAATCAATTCACTTATTCCATTTAATCAAAAGATATAATCAATGGGCACATATTTGTAAGAGAACAACAGACATACAATCTTATCTATAGTTGGGTAATTTTCCCCATTTTGGAGTCTCAAAAATTCTGTTGGTGAAGTACTAAAATCTGAAACTTGCAACATACTAGACCAATGACACGTTCAACATGAATATATGTACATTCACAATTTTGCATGTTCTTCTAAATCCATGTGACGCAACTGCGATTTCCCCTTGATCAATGCAGGAATGGCTAATTCTGCTTGATAAAAACCCATAGATTCTTCAATTGTAAACCCCCTACCCACCATACAAAATTACCTGGCAAAAGATTCTATAGAACCCATATTCTTCAGTGAAATGTTTACCTAATGTTCGTCCATCCCAACTCTCAGTGGAGCAATTCCAATGAGATATTTAACTGAATGGTAGTGTTTATAGTTGGAATAAGTGTACACTTGGTTCAAGAGGGTTTTCAATATATACTTCCAAACAATCCCTAATAACTGCAACTTTCTCACCAAATTCTTTTCTGAATGACATTAGCATTGATACCCTCAGACTTTCTCTTTATGCCCAGTGCACTAAGAAGATCAATCAGCAGATCAAGGACAGGATGAAAACTTTTTCGAAAAGTTTACACTGACACATTTACTGGTATATCTAAAAAGCTGTAAAGACCCTCTCTTGAGAATGTATACTTTTTCAAAGCAGTTGAATCTGCAACCCTTGCATTGTAGTCATTTTCAATTTGTTCAATATGTCCAGATGTTAAGTCAGTTTGGGTCCCTATGCCCTCGGTTTGAATCCCCTTGTCACATGTTTGAGTTACTATCTCACAGTTTTTAGGATCTGATTCCTCAGATATGGCCATGGCCTCCTCAGCTCCTTGTGGAATGTCTGAGTTTGCCATATCATCTTCTAAGGGCATATTCCCAGAAAGAAAACAAGGAGTTTACAGAGTTGAAAGTGATGAGATTACATCTATTACTTTTCTTTTATTGCCTCGCTGACTGTACTGCTGGTATCTAAGTTGCATTAGTTGACCCTGTTGTCGTCGTTGATGTGTGGCCTAAAGAAAGTGTTGGAATCCAGGACAGATTGTTGCTGTCCTGCAGATACTAGTATGCACTTTTTCCTATATTAAAATAACAACAAAAAAGAAACATTACGTAGTAACAGACAAAAAAAACTCAATGCACTTAACATGTCATAAAAAAACATCACTGACTGCATAGAGTATGAGAGATGTAAACTTTAGCTCAACTCTTTAGAGAACAATCCATGCAGACAATTAAAAAAGAGCAACAATTCTGTTTGGTGTACAATAACTTTACACATCATAACAATTATGAAATTGAATTCACTTATATGTTACTTGCAATTTCTGGTACAAACAGGAAAAGTAGGGAAATGTGACTGCCCGTCAGAGGTCCCGCCCCTCAGTATTAAGATTTTTAAGTATAAATAATGGCTTTTTGACAACGTGCCAAGAACACTCTAGTGCAATTAACAATTTTCAAAAGTGGCATACCTCCAACAAAGTGCTTTGAGCAAACGAACGTTCTATCCCATTTTTCTTCCGACGTAATGTCTTTTCTATGTAAAGCTGCCTTCCACATTGCGTCTCCTTTCTTCAGATTTTCTTTTTGTTTCATCTCCCTGTTCCAGTATAACTTTGAAATAACTTAGATCTCTGCCACTTCTATTGGAACAACCGACTATACCGCAACCTATCATGTTTTCTAACCAAAATATAAAGAGTACAAAACTTAACACTGGCATTAACGAAGTCCTTTACTGATGTTCAAAAACATGGCGGCAACACATGCGAGGACTGTCCCGCACCAAATATGACATCACGGAAAAGCAAAGGGTTGGTACGTTTTAGATGCCAGAGTACTGCCATACGATTGAAATATTTGTCTCTGAACATTGAATTGTATATCTTAATTCTCGTGATGTCTTTTATGCAGTAGATGTCTAGAAATTAAACTCAGTTATCCTGTGTGACATTGAATCGTACCAGCGGCAACTCTGACACTGACTGCGCCTGGGTCTAAATATTCTGCTTCTTACTTCTTTGCATGTAGCTCTACATTCTATACTACAATAGCAGTGTAAAATAGACACCTGCCAGTGATACACATTTGGCCCTCCCTGAACACAATGGTGCAGTGCAAGCATGTGTCATCTACATGTACTTTTTTCTTGCCTTCAGCTGTCAGAAGTTTTAAAACTCATTGTGAACGAGGATTATCTGAGTCTGTTTTTAAAAGTGCAATTTAGACATATGGCTGACGGGTCAGACAGTGGTTTGGTTAATGGACATGCACCTCAGAATAGGACTTATTGCTTTTGAATCTCATTTTCATCTTGGTATCACTATGATAATATAGGTTTCTTAAAACTGAAACTCATTTTATATAAATCTGTTGATATGCCCCTCTTCTGTACAATATATATATATATATATATATATATATATATATATATATATATATATATATATAACTACTGGTATCTGAAAATGACAGCATATATCACTACTTTGAACTTCTCGATATTTTATATATATTATTTGAAGATGCAGTAGTCATGTAGACAAAATTGATACCTTTGTTTATTCATGGAGCATATGCCTTTAACTTTTAAACATATTTTTTCATTTACTAAGGTAATCTGGAGAGGGGCTGGAATGATCCCCCTATGTTTTTCTACAATGTGGATTCTAATGCCTCAAATACAAAGAAAGCATCCCTAAATAAAAGAGTTGCATTTCCACAAGATCCAACTACAAATGTGGGTGCAAATTCATGTAAGTTGAAGTATGGGAGTTTGTAATATAGTTATGTTATTTATCTATTTCAATTCAAAGTTATCTGTTTGATTTAACATTATCTTTATTATAAACTCCATCAGGAATTAATATATTGACAAGTAATAAGACAAAAAATTCATGTTGAAGATAACACTAGGAAGATGAGAATTTGCAGTTTGATGAGTGTACTAAATGGTGGATAATCATTTTTTTTTCCAAAATAGGTTTAAACCCAGGGAATGGACCACCACCAGGCTCAGAATTACTGTCAAAACCTGCAGGCAACAGCTCGCCACCAAAAACAGGAAAACCAGTTTTACTTCCTCCTTGTGATGAGGGGGCAAAGCCACCACAAGCATCACCCCTTCTTAGCTCTCCTGAAGGTGGCGCTGTTGTGTCAACCTCCCCACCAGTCACATCAGAAAGCAAAGTCCTTGTGCCACCTAAAGTATTGCCAGATGAAAAGTCCTCAGATTCTGACCAACTTGTAGAGATTTTGTCTGCGGAAATGGAGGCTGTAGAAATCTTGGAAGAGAGTGAACTTTTTGCACTATGTAAAACGAAGCTCCAGAAAGTGTTTGAGAACTGCAAGAGTTGTTTACAGGTATGATCTTGGATTCCCTTATCATATGACAGATTTTTGGATACTATCTTTGATTCTAAGTCAGAATTGGTTAATTTGAGATTTGTAGGGAATCAAATTTTGTACATAGAGCCCATAATGTATATGATATTATGTCAGTATTCCAATGCTGTAATTCCAAGTATGCTGCTCAATTTGATCTTATTTTAATTAATCCAATGTTTTGCATTGAGTCAGTTCATTTATATGTCTAAGGTAAACAAAATAGATGCTGAAAAGTCAAAATTGAAAATAAAGTTATCTTTGTTTAAGCACTTTTTTATAAAAAATTACTTGTGTTACTTTATGTACCCCCACTTAAGCAAAGCTTCCACTCTCGTGAAAAAAGACAATGACAGAGAGCAGTAAGCTCATTTGTGGAAAATATTTTTGAATGTTTTTGGTTTGAACGAGTTTCAGTTTGAACCTCTGGCGAATGCCAAAGAAGCACATATCTACTCAGGTCAGATTAACAAACACAATGGCAGTGTGCAGCATGCATGCATACTAGGTCCATATTATAATCAGATCACTTGTTTACAGTCCTTACTATGCTACTATATGTTACTAGTAGCAATAGGCAGTAATCCAGGGCCAATTTTCAGCAATCCTTTAAAGGTATAAAATCAAGCAATTGGCATATATTTTATTGATTGTGGTATGGGTTGAAATGTAAAGTCAACAGTCATGCAGTTTATTTAAACTCAAAAATTTCCTCTCTGTTGTATATTCTTTCTTATACTATGAGTGCCCTGCCATTTGCTGCTATAGTCAAGTAAAAGCAGTTTGTACAGGCTACTAGGCAAGGCTAATATGTATTTTTCAAATGTTGGGTTACATAGGGGTGCATAAACTAACACTCACATTATTAAAAAAGAATGTGCTTTTACATTATATATAGAAATATATATATATATATATATATATATATATATATATATATATATATATATATATTTTTTTTTTTTTTTAAATTTTCAACTTTTCTGTTCACTTTCAAGTAGATCATTTCTTATGGTGTTTTGCTCACTGTGTCCAGGTTACAGCTTTTGTTGGCAAGGTTTATTTGAGGCCATGTCTTTAAATGTTTATGTTTTTCCTGTATCATCTGTCAGGCCAGAGCAGTAAGTGACATACAGAAGAGACTCGCCATGTTTGAAGACTGGTGGCAGAAGGGCAAACTGTCACAACCGGTGAAGACACGAATGGCACAGCTATCGCAATGTCTAGAGAGAGGTAACTGTGATATGGCTCATGAGTTGCATCTAGCATTGATGATAGACTATGCAGGAGAGGTAGGTATAGGGGAATCACACTTGAGCAGATTTCTGTTCTAATATAAGAACACTGTTCAATTCCTCTTATTGAATTGTCTGAACAATTTTTTTTTGTTAATTGATTAACTTAGAACCATAGGAAATTTTGCCCCTTGGTTTTCTTGTCAGCCTGTGTAAATTAAGAGAATATATAGCACTACCATGGTGTGTTGTTTATTAAATACATCTTCATTTAATTAAGTCAATTTAATGATAATTGAAATTTGATGCGATAGAATGTAATAAGGTTGACTCTGTTTTAGGTTGGACAGTGGATGGTGGGGATAAAAAAACTTATCCAAGAAACCAGAAATTTAAAAACAACAGAAGAGAAAGATGAATCTGAGGTACAATCAGCTGCAGTAGTGAGCAATCCTGCAGTGCCAGTTTTCTCACCAGAGGGCAATCCTGTGGTTCCTTTCAGTCCACCAGAGGGCAGTGTTGCATTAAGCGATGACCAATCACAAACTCCACTTGACAGCAGTGCTCCTCAAACTGACTCCCAAGAAAATTCAGATCAACAGTCTGCTGATAGTTCTAGCAACACACAAACTTAGATTCTCCATTGTAGATGTTTTTAAAGAAAACTTAGGCGCAAGTGCCTCATACGACATACATAATGGAATCTTGATATGTTTTAACTTGAAGGAAAATTGATCTCAATGTTGATGTTGCGCTGTTGGTGTACTTGTAGATAAACCTTATAGATAAGCTATTATTAAGAATGTGCATCACCTTTTGAGATCATCTGTGATAGCCAAAAATGAAGATGTCGTGTGATGCCATTAGTGACTAGAAATTGTGCAATAGCTGTGAGGTGGGGTTAAAAAATTCAGCGATAAAAGTGAAAAATCTGTGTGCTGGTAATGTTGTCTTTAAGTGTGATATTAAAGTGACACACAAAATATAGTGAATTTGCAATTTTGTGTAATAGTGCATAACTTACCAGTTCTGAAGAGAAGACACCTAGAAAAATATCCATGAATAAAGTACACTGTATGTCAGTTTATAAATTTATTATATTTTTATATGCATTCACTAGTCTAATATTATTTCTTGACAGCAATGTCCTCCAAATCCCTTGAAATTTCATTTGATTCTATGCTTAATCATGAGAATGGGCTATCTGGGATGATTATCAATGGTATAGTGCAATAGAAAGTGTATAGGGTACATCGTACAAAGACAGGTTTTGGTCAGTTGGAATGGATATCCCCTATGAATACAGTGTTGGATGTTGGCGCATGGCTGTAGGAATGCATTTTAGAAGCTCCCGTTGGTATAATGTGTGCCATGACATGAAAAAGACAAACACCACGTCTGTGTTCAAATCCAAAACTTGAAGTGCAGACTTGGCACTAAGTCTTTATTTACATGCAAATGGGATAGGCGATCAAGTGTTGGACAGGTGCTATTCGGCTGCATTCACATTATTTGGCTGCATTCACATGTTTGAGACATACACACATTACATCATACTGGTGGTAAGTAAAAAGGGATATCCTGAATAACTACGAATAACATTGCTGCAGAAATTGATTGAAAGGAGAAATAGTACATATATTAAAATATTTTTGAATATTTATTTCAACATTTCATGTTTAAAATGACTTAAATTTGAAAAAAATGTAGAAAGAGCTCTGTTATCAGTTTAAGCTAATAGTTAAAAAATGATTATGATATAAATCAAATTCTAAAATCAGGATGTAAATTGGCAATTCTAGGGTCCCAGTATGTAAACATTATTTTTCCATTTATATTGCTTTTTAGATTATAATGTGCAATTAAATATTTATAGAAATACAAGGTGCTTACAATATTATATTTGTTACTTTGTTCTGTCTTTCACCTTTAAGATTGGGAACATTTAAATAAGCTATGTTAAGTATTTACCCTCAAATAATGTAACCATAACCTTTATTGTGCTGGTCTGTATTCAATATTGAAAGACAGGTCTGTTTATCTCAAAATACTACCTGAAAACAGTTTGCATCCTTATTGTAAAGTGAAAGAAAATAAGCTACACGTAACATGCCTTTGCATCAAATATAAATCTGTACATTTACATTAATTTATCACTATCAGAAAAGGTATCCCCAACTTTTAATACATAAGCAATAATGAGAAAGTTATTACCCAACAACTAATATAAGGGATTATGAGCCTTGTTGGATGTGAGTCATTTTGAATAAATGTTTTCAGATTTGTACTTTGTGCTTGATAAGCAGTTTTTTACACTATTTTATCCTCACAATATCTGCACTGCTGCCCCTTTTTGCCAATATGTAAAAGAAAAAGATATAAAATAATATTTGTTAAGGCGGCAAAAAAAAAAAAAAAAAAAAAATAGTTTCGAATATTTGACAACATATTGCACTTCGAATGTTGCAGTAAGTCTTGCCTTCACACTGCCTTTATGTCTCGCTTTCTTTGAAAAAAAAAGTAGCACTTGAAAATGTAAGCAAACTGTACATTAAGCACAGAAAACTCGATCATTCTATCCTCAAAGGAGGAAAGCGAGGTGGCGGGAGTCGCTGTGGTTGATATTGATTGAAAGGTGCACTCACTGGTGGTAAATCATGTGACACAGTACCACCAATATCCATGACGTGAAGCCTAGTGACAGAGTCAGGTGGTTCAACAGTTTTCCTGAATTCGTCAACACGTGTACTGTCAGTGTCTTTGGAAAGTAGCCCGTCGGAGCCCAAACGAGAAGGCGCTTCTGGAAACTGCGTCGTTGTTGGAGGGTTTGGTATGGCACCAGTTGCGGGAGGGACGTATGGGATCTCGCTGGAGCCATCTTCTTGTGGTTCTTCTCTGCTGTCGTTTTTATCTTTTTGCGTTGAAGATGGGCCTTCTTTTGCTTCGCCTGCTGGGGAAGTTCGAATTTTCCTAAGATAAATTATATAGACGCAGATAATAATTGAACACTGGTAGTAGGGCTACATGGCAACTTGAACTGATCATGTGCTGGTTGATATAGAAGTTGGAACTACGCCTCTGTCTTTTTTTAAATTCAAAGTATACTTATAGACCATGGTATAGACGTCCTTACAAAAGCGTAGGCCCTATCTAGGGTATGGGAAGTAGGGTGTCAACCACTTACATGTGAACGGACCACTGGTTTTATAGAAAAATTATATAAAAATGGGTGTCAGATAGATAGGGGCGCAGATTCATTGCTCACCTACAGGTAGATGCCGTTTCCATACATATACCTCTGCATTCATATTCATTTTCACAACAAAAATCAGAGATAACAAGAAGTAAGTTTCAAAAGAATTACAGATAAGCTGTTACCTTTTCATCCGTTTCTGAAGCCACCAGCTCGTTGCTACGACAGCTCCGCACAGCAAGATGACACCAGCGACTGGGGGAAGAATTTCGGTGAGCCTTTGTTCAGAAGCTTTGGGGTCCATTTTTCGTGCGCGTAAAGCTGCACCTTCATTGATATTCTGAAATGTGATCAAATGTAAAATCACATACACCATAACTACATGTAAATGTGGAAAACAGGATCAACTAAACAATGATTCAACCGTTATGAAATGCCCCTTCATCAAATTTTAAGACCAACATTTGTGTTTATGTCAAAGATGATAAAATCAGTTATGGAACGCACAGCTGTTTGTAATATGTAAGCAGAATTGTCCATTTCGGCTTCATTTTTTAAATGGGAAAGGCAAACAAATATAGGGCCTATTTAGTTATCCTCTTAAGTAAAATTTGCCCAGAGAGGGACACCTGGTTGCAAATCAAATATAAAACGTAATTTAATATTATTGATACTAAATAAAATATATTTATTAATGACCAATAAGTATATATTGATCTGACGTGTCTAGTTCACCTTTACGCGAACTTCTACATGAACCATATATATAATATATAACAAACGCTGACATATTCTTTTAAGTCTACTTACAGCCTCTGTAGACCAAATGCCCGGTGCTGATACTGCCGTGGTCTCCAGATAGGAATGCGTAGTGCGTTGTACCGCTTCATCCGTTGACCAAACAAACCAGGAAAATTTTGACATGACTTCAGTAGAAGGTTTCTCAGTGCTAAGTTTCGTTTTTTCTGATGTCCAAAGTCTCTGCAGGGTTTCACTCACAGTCTCAGAATAAGGCCGCTTTGTACTTCGTGCCTTCTCCGTCGACGAAAATATCCATGGCACTTTAGCCGTGGTTTCTAAAGTAAGTTGCTCAGTGCGATGGTACATGTTGTCTGATGACCACGCCACACCTGTCATTTTTGGAGTGGTTTGAGTGGTGGAAGGCTCGGACCGTTTGATCTCCTCCGATGTCCAAAGTTTTTGCGATGTAGTCGTAGTTTCAATAGTGGGATTGCCAGTATGTTGCCGCGTTTTCCCTGTCGACCAAGTCAACACCGGAGACTCAGGCGTGGTTTCAACGGCTAAATACTCGGTGCTAGGTCGTACTCTTTCTGGCATTTCAGTGGTTGTCAAATTTTCACCTGGAAAATAATCATTTTTTTCATTTGCACAATTTATTCCCACTATACATTTATAAAATAAAGTTTTAGAAATGTCTTCTGTTCTTAAGGATGCCTATCATCATTATCGTGGCATCTACTGGCATGGTTCTTATATGAAACTTTTTTCATTAGTTCATTGGTTCAACCCCCCCTCCCCCCCCCCC